AAGGGTAAGGAGTTTATAAAACCCCTCACCATCGTGGCTGAGGTGCACACCTCTTGGGAGTTGAGGAGTGCGCCTCAAGTGAGCCAATTTCTTCCAGAGGTGTACTCCCGGCGAGGGCGCGCGCCATGGTTCACTGGGCACGGCCCAAATTTTTTTTTTTTTTTTAAACACACGCAAAAATCACCAATTCCCCCTATGAACCCCCACACTAAAAACAAAAAAGAAAAATTTAAATTCTAGGAACGACACAAATAATATGGATGAAGATGCCTAATTAATGTAAACACACAAAAAATTTGAAAAAATCCTAAGCTAATGCATAAAAACTGAATAAATAAAAATGAAGAATATTGGGGTGCCTCTCAACTAGCGCTTGTTTATAGTCTTCAACTCGACTATGTTGCTTAGGCTATTTTGGATCCTCAAGTGGCAGAATTGTCTTCTCATTGGAGTAATCACCTCCCTAATAAGCTTTCAACCTTTGCCCATTGATTTTGAACCTCCGTTGATTATCTTAAGATACCACTTCAACTGTGCCATATGGGTGAACCGCTATAACAGTGAAGAATTGAACATGAGTACCTGTTGACCAACCTCAAATTTTTCTCTTATATGCTTGTTATGCCATCTCTTGGTCTTTTCCTTATAAATTTTTGCGTTCTCATAAAGGAAAATCTAAGTCCAGGTGTTGTGCCATTGTTACTATTGCCTAGGAAGGATGAGACAAGGATGAGGCCCGATGAATCACCAATGGTAAGATATTCCCATTTCATACATAGGTTAGATGATGGTTTAGCATGTAGGGATAAGTTTTCACTTGGAGCATCTAATTTTAACCTCACAACCACACCTCAGCTAGATGCTATACTTGTTGATTTGCATGTGTCATATATTTGTGGTACACTTGAATATAAGGTCAACTATGAAATTTATAAGTGGTTAGTTGTGTTGCTCACTGGTCCATCCGATACTTTCATGGGATTAAAGAGTCGTCTTTTGTGTGCATTCATAGCAAAAATTTTAATAATTTGTGACTATATTTTATATTGCAATGGACTATGCATGTATGTTGAAGTGCGAGGTAACATGTTCCGTGACGATACCATAGTAAGTGGTAGAGATTTAGATGCGCGTGTTACATATTTGAAATATATTAATCTAGGTCTACATAACTGGTGTGCTGTCGTGGGCACCCAAAATAGTCCTTAAACCTCTAAAACTAATGTAGTAATGGAAGTAAGGGTCGATACCACCAAGAGTGTGAAAATTCAACAATTTATACTTCGTATAATGATTGGAGGGTTTGTTTATAACGAAATCAATCTTATAACAAATAACAATGTAAATTAATGAGTTGTATTAAACCAATGAAAAGAGTCTTCATCAAAGTCAACTTCCACCATTGAAGATTTATAATCATTCATCAATCCACAAAGAATAATCAATCCACATTCACAATATTCATCGTTGGAATAAATTTCTATTTCTCTTTAATTTTAGTTAATCAGAAACCATCGTTCTAATTAACCTTAATTATCAAATAATCTCATACCAGTGCTAAAGATTCAATTTAATAAAAACTTTAAACAATAGAAAAATTGATGAACTAGATAATAGAAACACCAGCGGTTGCATTCAATCTATTTAAACATTCTTCTTAAGATTCAATAACATCTATCGTAGAAAATTATCAAATCCTACTGTTTCACAAGTTAAATGATTCAAACCATTACGGATTTGAGATTTAGCTTAGCTATAGATTACAATATATGAAAAACTAATAGATCTCTTAGCAATCGAACATGGAAATCATAAAATTACGCAAAAAAGAATATTTAATAATAAAAATATAAATTAAATAACGAAATAGGTAGATCTCAAAGTTATAATGGTTTCCAAGGCTTCGGTATCCTTCAATCAAAAACCAAGAGATAGTTACACATGATAGATCTAAGAAAAAATAGAGAGAAAAAAGGTTAGAGAGGTTCTGATGTGTTTGGGGTGTTTTTCTCGGCTTTTCACGACCCATACATACAAAAAAAAAATCCTAATTTGCACTACGTGGCGCCTAGGCGCTATGGGAGCAGTGCCTAGGCGTTGAAAATCTGTTCTTTATGGGCAACACGGCGCCGGGGCGCTGTGTTGCTGTTTCAAATTCTGCGTTCTCTTTAGTATTTTAATAATAACTTCATCTCCTAATGTCTAATTGAGACAATTCAAGATCAGTTGGAAAGATAACTCAAAGTTGTACAACTTTACTTAAGATACCATCTTCGAATTCGATTTTATACCACGTAAAAAACCAGTCTCAAGATGAGGCTGAAAATCGGTACAAAACTTTTCAGCTTGAAAGTTGATATATGATAATGTTTTGGTTATGTTTCATCCCTTTGACTCCTTCCTTCATCCAATTGACCTCTAACACTCTCAAATTTTCATCACTATGTTAGAAGCAAGTTTAGAGTATTTGCATTTTAGACCTTGAACTTTTACTTTCTTCCATTTTGGTCCATTTTCAC